AAAAAAAAAAAAAAAAAAAAAACGCCTGTCTGAAAATAGCTAAGTTAGTGAAAGGAAATCCGATATGCATGTGGGTGAATTTGTACTTTAAAATTTTCAGAGCATATTTAAACCATGCCATTACTAGTTTTACAAAAGGACACATAAACAAAACTTCTTTTTTCATAACAGTTGAGTAGAAATTGAGCACAGATTTCCCCAGAAAGATTGACGGGTAGGTAAACTGAGGTCAATAGTTGCGTGGGTAAAAAAAAAAAGACGAAGAGAGTAAAAATAAAATACATTTTGGAGTAGGTGTCGTGAACCCTTATAGCACTTACGGAATCAGTTACCCCGCGCAGGGACGATGACTTGTCGCCAGAATATTACGAAAATTTTTATCGACTTTAAGACTTGCAAAAAAAAAAATCCGATCAGAAGTTCACGAGACGCTTAGTAATCCTAAAAAAAAAATTAGCTAGACACTTAGCTACTTTAATACAGGAAAAGATCAACGAGTTCTTGAATAATATTACTAAATCACTGCATCTTCCAGGACACTATGTGCTCTGTCCTTTTTTTTTGCTTCCTTTCAAAAAAATGGGAACTGATCATCAGCTATGAAGTAAAAAGAACGGTCTTATATCAGTCTATGAAAATAATGAAGGTTAAGTAAAAAATCTACTTGTTTTTCAGGCGATATTGTGCAGTTTTCTGCGGAGAAAAAAAAGTCAGTCAAAATCTACAGTTTGTGCTAAGTTTTTTAACAGTTAGAACCAAATTCTGAGCCAGAAATTCTTCAAAATCTTGAAATGGGACTGTAGATCACAAGTGATGAAATTAATGGCTTTGAGGATAATTGTCGCAAAAAAAAAAAACCAGCAATGAAAAGGTGCCGAAATAAATATTTGTAGAAACGTGCGTGGAACACAGCACCAGTGGCTTAAGTGTAACTCTTAGAAACAAAACAAAATTTTTTTTAAACCTTTCTGTTCAACTTTTGTAAATAAGGCTTACATCAGGTTTACATCGTTTCTATAACTGTAATACTGTAAAAAAAAAGGAAAAAATGCTTCCCAGTACACCTGTTACATACTGGTAATTCTTCTTTGAGAAAAGTGCGACAGCATTTGTAGAGGACGGGATAACTTCAAAGGAGTCCCACCTGCTTTTTACGAGTAATGCAGCGAAAAATTTTCTAAAATGTAGTACTCCATAGAGCTCAACGTTAATTAACTTAAGCAAAAATGAGATGCTTTTAAGATGCCGAAAAGAAAAGGCTAAAAGCTCCACCTGCTTCCTCACATACTTTCGAATGCTTG